GAGCTGGATGCTGCTGATCTCTGCAGAGATCACATGGATCTGGCTGATCCCCGCTCCCCTCCCATGAGCACAGAGGACCCAGTTTGGGTTGGCAGGAAATGTTCTGTGCACTCTTGGTGTGAGCTTGGAGAAAACCCCTGAAGGTAAGGAACAGAGGCTGACCTGACTGAAGGTCCTCAGGAGACAGCACCTGCAGGGACAGAAGGATAGTTTGTCTTGTGTGACAACATGCTGGGGCTCAGTGCCTTCGGCAGGAGGGTTCTGCCAGTGCCAGAAGCTGCCCCAAGGATGAGCAAAGGGCTGGTGTGATAGGCAGCCACATGTTGCCAGCTGCAAGGAAGGGCAAATCCCCAGAATCATGGGAAGTGAAGTGAAGGACTGGAGGCAGCCCAAATCAGGAGGTCCCCGTTACACATGGTCTCCAGACAAGTCCCCATGAAAGCAAGTGACACTGCACAGCTGGGGTTCTCTCACCTCTCCCTGCAGAGCCAGGCCAGTCAGCAGTGTGTCCACCTCCTGGGCCAACAGGGCTTCCTTCCCCACTGCCAGCTGGGTCACCATCTGCCAAGAGACACCCCAAGTCAGTTGCTCTGCCCAGACCCCTGGGAGACACCAGCTGCCAAGTGCTACTGGGGGAGCCTGCACCACCTCTGAGCCCCTTTGCTGGTAAGAATGCCAGACAGCTCCAGAGCTGTGCCAGGAGTGGGCAAAGCCAGCCCAGCGATTGCCTTACAGACCTGTTCCAGTTTCTGGAAGGAGCTGCAGCTGCCGGTTGCCTCCATCTGGAAAGCCAGGACACAGCGGAGCAGGGGTCGTGCCTCTGCCTCACCCAGCGCCTGCAGACCCTCGCTCAGCACCCGTGTCAGCTGGAGAGCCTCCTCCAGGTGCTTCTCCTTGCATCTCTTGGCAGTGCTCCTGCAACAGGACAAGGACAGGGGTGAGGATACCCTGGCTCGGTGAAGTCTGTAGTGGGGGAATACCCCGACTCAGTGGGATCTGGGATGGGGGTGCCGCAGCCTGCGGCGCTCCTCTCTCCCAGCTGCGCTCTGCACTGCACTGCACTGCAGCGGGGACGGGGGGACGGCGGCGGGCGGGGGCGGGGGGGGGAGCTGCACGAAATCCTCAAAGCTCAGCGCATCGCAAGCCCTTGGTGGGCAGAAGGGCACGAAAATCCTAAAAACTGCAGCCCTGCTGCTGCTGAGCAGGCTGGAAGGGAATGGGCAGCACCGTGAGCGTGGCTCGAACCCCTCGCTGGGTACCGATCTTCCCACACTCCCTTCTTCCCTCCCGACCCGCGCCCGCGGGTGCACGGGCGCTACACACCGCGGGTTTCCCGATGTAGCCGTGACCGGGGGACACGGGGAGCTCTTACCCCGCGAAGTGCCGCAGGCAGCGCAGGCAGGAGAGCACTGTGGGGGCGAGGCCCCGAGTGCCGTAGAAGGCGGCGCAGGCCCGCGCCTCCCGCTCGGCGCCCATGGCGGCCGCACCATAGAGCCGGGCCCGCGGCGGCGCTCGGCGGCGCCCCCTGGCGCTGCCCCGGGGCAGCACCGCCCGGGAGAGCGGCTGGGACCCGCGGCGCTTCCTTCCTTCACCCTGCCCCGGGACCCGCTCTCCTTCCTTCATCCCGCCGGGACCCGCGCCGGCTGCAAGGCCGCAGTTAAAAGGCATCATCATCCCGAACTGTTTCCGTAGTCGGGGAAAAGCGAGATAAGCCAGAACTTGCTAAAAGCGGGTGCTGCCTGCCGAGCACAGAGGGATCTGGACAGCATGAGGCGGTGCAAGATCTCTGAAATGCCAACTGGATTGCTTCAGGGTGAAGCAGTTGTCTGATTCCATCGTGGCTCATTTCGGAAGAGGAGGTTTGGTACCCCACAGTCCTCCTGCTCCACCACGGACACCATCTCTGATAGCCAGCACCGCCACTGGTAGCATCCCTACTCGCAGTATCACTAACAACACTACTCCCCAGTGGAGGGATTCCACTTCTTCCTGTGCAATGAAATGGCCTTTGGGGAGAGACAGGTTTATTGTAATTATCGTCTAATCAAAATGAGTTTATTGGAGCTCTTAATCTTAGTTGGCACAGGGTTGAACAATTTTAATTGGCACAATTTTAAGATCATCTTTAAAGGCCCGTTCAATCTAAACCATCCAATGATTTTACGACTTCTGGTTATTTATTAAACATAGTTTTAACACCTGACTAGCACATCCCACTGAATTTCAGCTACACAGAATATGCTTCTTGTTTTTGATCTTGAACGCTTGTTTTTACTCTGGATTCTTTCTCACAGGGGTTCTGGAGTGAGTGATGGGCATCCTTTGCTTGGATGGGTCACGGCACAGGCAGCCCAGGAAAACACAGCTGGCGTGCACCAGTGGCTCCACTGGGTGGCCAGGAGGGCACTGACATGTGGATCCTGGGCTGAGCACTTCCCTTGGGGATGGAAAACCCCCAGACTGTAGTTTTTGGCAACATTTGTCAGCAGCCTCCATCTCTGTTCTGCTTTAGAAATCAGCCTGGAAGCCCAAAGCCAGCTGGGGTCTCGGTTTGCCCTGACTGCTGTCAATATCAATGAGTGAAAGAGCCCAGGATTTGTCCCAGGTAAGGCAGAGGAGTGCAGGAGGATGGTTACATCCCTCAGATCTGATCCTCCTTTTCCTCAGCATCACAGCCACCCACACTGGTGATAGGGAGTGGGGAGAAGCACTGCCAAACGAGAGCTCCCACAGGTGCCAGCACACAGGCAGGGGCAAGGCAGAGGAGGGTGCTGCTGTGCTGTAGGGTTTCCAGTGCTCCTGTTCCCATCACCTTGTGCTGCCTGCAGAAGGGAGGGGCACAAGAGGGAAAGGGGGATTTTTTTCTTGTTTCACCATAGGAAGGATTTTCAAACCCTATAAATTCACTTTTGACAAGTGAACAGCTAAAGCAGATTAACCTTTTTGCTAATCCTCTATAATGGCTTTGGAATCTCCTTAACCAATAAGAAAATTATAAGAACCTGTTTCTTTTCTTTTTATCTACATCTATATTGTCCTCTCTTGTCTGCATGTTTTTTCTTTCTTGTTTTATTTTCCTTTCCTTTTCTAATATGAAATAGCCCAGTGATGCTATCTCCCCGAGGCTCAGTAAACAGTACATCAGAAATCCCTTTCCTTTATTCCTCTCTGGTAACAGGGTGCAGAGAAGTGTCTGCCGATTGGGATTTGATTACCAGCAGCTATCAAAAGTCTCTTTGTACAATCTGGATCCTAAATCCCATAATTCTTTGATAAAAGAAGTATTACCAGTCCATTTTCTGTAGTGAAAGGTATGGGAGGAATGAAAGAAAGCAATCAGCAGAGATCCTAATAGGCTAAGTGCATGTGTGGTGGGAAGGCAGGGCTGGGACAGGATGCCCAGGGAAAGACGTCCTTTGTTAAGGATGGGGAAGGAGAATTAATCCTCTTCAGGCATCTGAACAGAGCTGGTCAGATCCTGCACCTGCCCATGGCATGTCCCAGCTCACCGGCCCTATGGCCCCTCTGGACCAGCAGAGTGGGGAGCAGAACCTGGCCCCACATCCACCCCTCGTGTCAGTGTTTGGGTACATGCACAAAAGCTGGGAGCAGTTTCAGTGATCTCTGGAATTAGGGCATCCCCAGTGTCTCTCTGGAGCACTCACACCTTGGCAGGGCAGAGTGAACACATCCAGACTGAGCGGCTACAAGGGTGTCTTCATCCCAAAAGGTAAAGATTCACAGAGCTCAGTTATAATCCAAGGTACACCATTGGAACAGCTGAAGGAGAGGCAGATAACGGGATGGAAGGAAAAACAGCAGTTTGTGAAGTGAGTCACAAGTAGAACAGCTATGGGGCATCTCTTCCCAGCACTGAGGGACCTGCAGGGAGGAAGGGCAGGCAGCGAGCAGGGATGAGGAGAGCAGAAGGGAGCTGGGAGAGGCTGTCTGGGGAGTGGCTGTAAGTTTTGCAGGGTGCTGGAGGCATGGCTGGGCTGTCCAGCCTGAGGGTCTTTGGTGTGCAGTGGTTTCACAGCACCCACCCGTGTGTCTCCTTGGTGCACCATGGGTGGGACTGCAAGGAAACACCAGGTGTGAGTGCTCCCCACCTGAGCCCCCCAGGCCTTGCTTCTCACCTTGGCTTAAACTGCACTGAGGGCAAGGGAACCTGGCTTTCAACTTTGCTAAGCAACCTGATCTCAACTACACCTTCTCTATTTTATTCCTAGCTATTCAGTCAGTTAAAAACACAGGATCCAAGATGTTCTCTCTCCTCCTGTGGATTGCAGCTGTCAGGCCTTGCTGTTTGACTTCAGGGGGGCAGAGCCAGGCTTCCCTTCCTGTCCTGAATCTTGGCCATGGCCTCTCCCAGTTTCTTTGGCAGGGCAGGAACTGGGAATTGAAGTGGCTTTGGGAAAGTTGGCTGTGGTACTGAGTCCACACTCCTGGATATGTGAGTCCACACTCCTGCCTGGATGGCTGTGGGTCCTCACTGAGAGCACACAGAGGCAGCAGCAGCAACAATCCTCCCCTTCCCTTCTCCACACAGAGCATGGCTCAGCTGCATGGGAGGTGGTTACATGCCACTAAGCTGTGGTGCAGAGCTGCTGCAAGCAGCTCATAATCTAATTTATTAAGGGCTTTGAATCCTTACAAAGAGTATGTTGGATACATGCAAAGCATCTGCATTATTACAGTGATTAGGGCAACAGAGATGGGGGAAAGGGGAAGGAGGGAAAATACAATTTCTCTGCTTTCAGCAGAAAATAAATCAACTTTCACAGAGAATTCTGCCAAAGCCAAAGGCTGTGCTGTCATTAAAAATGATTTTTTATTAAGCTCAACTCTCTCTTCTCTCATATTGTATGATATGACAGCTCTCTTTTGATGGGAAAGCTTTCATTTGGCCAAAGAAAGGGATAATTTGCTTCTTTTAAGGAGTTAATCCTCTGGTCCATTTCTGGGCTGGGAACAGCTATCCTCCCCCTTCCTTGGATAGGAGGCTGCAGCACAATGGAGATCATAACCACCTCAAATCTACACCCGAGATGGAGAAATCAGATTTCCTTCTCCAGTCATTTTTGTGGGATTAGCTAAATCTTAGATCCACACTAACCCTTCACAAAGCTGCCAAGATTAGTTAGAATTTATTTTATTTGCAGGAGGGTTTACGGTTTTCTTTCCAAAGGGATTATATCTCTCTATATATATATATATTTAGAGTGGCTTCAGTCATAACGCAGATAGGTCAGAGGGAGGAAAAGAGTGCGTGTGTATAAAATAAAAACTCAGCTGCAAGAATGACAGTCACTTGAAACGCCAAGACAAAGCCATGGTTCTGGATGGCTTTGCCAGTCCATTTTAAAAACCACAAAAGCCGTCCTTTCCCTAGCAAACCCCCACTAGGGAGCCAGTGAAGGGAGAGCAAAGCCCCCCAGCTGGGCTGCCTGTTTCCCCAGCTGCTGCTGCTGGCACAGGATGTCTGCAGAGGCAGTGCCAGGGGCTGAGGCTGGCAGGAGAGGCCTGAAGAAGCCACGTCCGTTCAGCATCGAGGACATCCTCTCCAGCCCTGCCGAGAAGAACCCCCAGGTCTTGGTGCCACTGTGCCTACGGAGCATCTTGGACTGCACACCCCAGAGGCTCTGTGAGCTGGAGACCATCCCAGCCAGCTCCCTGCAGGAGGAGGAGGAGGAGGAAGAGGAGGAAGAGCTGGAAGGGGCAGGCTGCAGCTGCTGCTGCTGTTCTCACACAAGTGCCCGCTCCCTGCAGGACCTGCCAGCCTGGCTGGGTGAGTGTTGGGCTGGGTGAGGGTTGGGTTTGGTTCAGGTGTGGGGCTCGCAGCGGGGCTGGTGCCAGTGCTGTGGGCAGGGGAAAACCTGGCTGTTAAGTGACAAGATGGCATCTGGCCACGGTGGTCTTGGGCCCGAGGCCCAGCAATCCGAGCTGTTCTCAGCAGGGCTCCTAAGAGTGGGCACTTTCACCTGAAATGCTGCCAGGCTTGAAAAGCAGAGGGTGCTGACTGTTACTGGATATTACTGGTCAGTGTGAAACTCTTGAGAGAAGGATGCTTCTCTGTGGAGTGTGGGGCCCCATGGCCACGCTGGCCACGCTCCCACGCTGCCCATGTGCGGAGCTGTGCCTGTGCTTCCTGACATCACCAGCCCTGGGGAACCTCACTTATTCTTTAAGGAAAAAAGTTTTGGCTACGTCTAGCAAAATTACTGTGGAAAATAAAAAGGAGAAAACCCTTAAAAATGCAGTTCAAGAGCATACTGATAGTTCAGAATTCCCTTGTGTCAGGGCTGAAACACAGATCTTTGCTGAGCTGTGAGTTTGCAGTTATTTTTCTGGAGCTGGCCATAGTGCAACTGGTAAGTAAACAAAGACAACCCAGCCAGTGCTCACCACCTGCATCCTTCTCCCAGAGTCATGCCCTGAACTCTTCTCCCACTGGCACAGTGACCACTCGGCTTGCCACCACTCCAGGTGACTGGCTGCCTCCTTCCAGACAGTAGCAGGGACGCAACTCGTGCCTGAGCTGCCTTGAGCGTGGCGAGTGTTTGAGCCGCACACCTGTACCGCTGCTGCTGTCCCTGTCCCCTCGCAGATGCCCGGCTCCCCTGGCCCGTGCGGCTCCTCCACCCGGCACTCAGGGCGTGCAGGAGCTCCCAGGAGAAGCCGGGCGAGCTGCAGGCCCTGCAGCAGCTGCAGCGCCGCACGCGCCGGCACCGCACCATCTTCACCGAGGAGCAGCTGCAGGCGCTGGAGACGCTGTTCCACCAGAACCAGTACCCGGACGTGGTCACCCGCGAGCACCTGGCAAACCGCATCCACCTGAAGGAGGAGCGCGTGGAGGTGAGATCCTGCCACCTGTGTTCCTGCAGTCCCCCGGGAACACACACTGCGGCATTGCGCTGTCTTTTTTTGGGGAGCTGCAGACCCACGGCCTCGTTTTAAAATCCATCCTTGTGCATTTGACAAAAGGGAGTTTAAGTTTGGCGAGCAATGGAAGAATATAAACCATTTCAGCTGGGCTAATTTGTACTGGCACCCAGTCCACAGACTGACATGATGCCTCTGCCAGAATCTCGTGTCACACACAGACATGCCCAGCTCTGCTGCTCATCCCCTGCACCCAAGGGTGTATTCCTTACCTAAGTGATCTGCGTCACTTCTGAATTTGTCATGGGGGGGTCCCAGCTCCCTTGTGCCCCTCACATGTACCAGAGCAAGATTGCAGCAGAGGGACTGATTACATTTTGTATCGAGCCTTGCTGTTACAGTACCTTACAGCCCACACAGTACAGCCCAGGAGGGCCACTGCCTGTCCCACTCCCAGTAACACCTGACATGCAAAAGCCCTTATTTGTTTTGCACTTTCTAGGTTTGGTTTAAAAACCGCCGGGCGAAGTGGCGGCATCAGAAGAGGGCGACTGCCTCAGCACTGACCCTGCAGGCCAGGCAGGCCCCCAAGGAGAGCTGCTAGTGCCCAGAGGCTGCAGAGAGCACCCAGAGCACTGCCCTGGCTGACAGGCTCGGGGGTACCCCGAGGGGGCTGTGCAGCACAAGGGAACCTCTGTGGTTCACACAGGAGGAGGACAGGTAAAAGCAGACACGGCACTGTCACATGCCTCTTCCAAAGTTCACGTGGCAAATGACTGGGCAGGCAGGACGTGCAGGGGACAGAGCTGTACCGGTGTTAAATGTGTGTGCTTTAAGAGAAGGAGAACTCCCCTTCTTGTCTTTGCTCTGTGCACGTAGTATTTGTACTTGTTTTATTGATGTAGATTTGCAAAATATCCTGCAAATGAATGTTTCCTGTTTGCAGCACCTCAGTGGCATCTAGAGTTGCTTTTGGGGTAGAGCTTGCTGGACAAGCGATTTGTTCCATAACAAAGAAAGGCGGGTTTCTCCCCATAGCCTGGGGAGAGGCGCCGAACGTGCAGTGGTGAGGGGCCGGCACAGGCAGCGCCCGCCGCAGCCCTGCTGCCAGCCAGCCCCGGCCACAAGGAGCCGTGTCCGTGCTCCCGGCGGGGCCGAGGAGAAGCTGGAGAGCTGGGAAGCAGCGACATCAATAACACTGCCCGGGAGCCGGCCGGGATCCCGCTCCCCCAGGCCCGGGCTGTTCCTGAGGAGGTCTGAAGAGACCGTGGGGGCCTTGGGGGGATCCGCCCGCCGCCCATCCCTGTGTACCCCGCCTCCCATCCCGTGTGCATAGCCCGGTTCCCATCCCCGCTCCCATCCGTGTTCCCAACCCGCTCCCATCCCGTGTGCATAGCTCGGTTCCCATCCCGGCTCCCATCTCCGTTCCCATCCCGGTTCCCATTCCGCCTCCCATCCCGTGTGTATAGCCCGGTTCCCATCCCGGCTCCCATCCCGGTTCCCATCCCGTGTGTATCCCGGTTCCCATCCCCGTTCCCATCTCGACCCGGTGCCGCCGCTGTCACGGCCCGGGACCGCCCGGGTCCTCCGGACCGACAGGGGACGCGCGCGCGCATTCCGATCCCGGGGCGCGGAAATGTGACGTCACTGCCCGTCGCGTTCGCGGCGGCGAAGGAGGAGCAGGATCAGGAGCGGGGCGGTTCCGCCACCATGGAGGCGATACCGGCGTCCCCGGCCTCTTCCGCCGCTCTGGTGCCGGCTCCCGCCTCGGGCCCCGTCGCCGTGACGGGGAAGGAGGTGGTGTCGCCGGCCGCGAGGCACCCGAAGAAGATCCTGGATGAGGAGGCCTATATCGAGGTAAGGCGGCGGGCCCGGGCCCAAGCTCGGGAGCCTCCGCCGCGCCGGTGCTTGGGCCGAGCGCTTCCAGCGCGGCGGGGCTCCGCCGGGCTCCGCTCGGCGCGGTCGGCCCGCGGCCGGTGCAGCCGCAGCTGCGGATGGAAGTAGCGCTGGGGGCGCCCCTCGGGCTCCCGCCCGTCCTGCGGCGGCAGCTGCCAGCGCTCTGCCCGCCTGGGCTGCCCGGCCTGCCCGTGGCTTTGCGCTGCTGGCCCCGAGCTGGGCCCGCGCTCCAGGTGTCCCAGCGGGGCGTTGCAGTTGTCTCTGTCTTTGTAGAGCTTAGAGAAGATCATCCAGCGAGACTTTTTTCCCGATGTGGAGAAGCTGCGAGCACAGAAGGACTATCTGGAGGCTGAGGAAAACGGAGACTTGGAGAAAATGAGACAAATTGCTATCAAGTTTGGCTCTTCCTTGAACAAATCTTCGAGGGATACACCTGCACCCTGTAAGAACTGGCTCTGTGGGGCATGAGGGTTTTATATCTGATATTGCTGCTCTTCTTTATCTAACTTTGTGCAGACAATGCTTATCTTAAAGATTCAAGACTGATGTTGCATGAGAGCTAAGTGTACCGGCTTGGGCAGCAGCCAGTGTCTGGTGGCTCATGCTGAATTTCTCTTTGATGGTGTCTAATAACTCCTCAAGGGAAAGGCTTTGGGACAAGCAGCCTTTTAATAACCATTCCTTATGGGCATCTTTTGCCAAGTTCCTGCTCCCTAGGAAGGTTATGTGCTCTCTTCTATGAGAAATCCTGAGCTGTGTTTTGAACCCTTATTTCAGTTTGTAGTTTGAGATTTTCATGTTTTAGGGACAAAAGGTGTGGGGAGCTTGTGGTTATCAGAGGTTCCCACAGCAGGTACCCAGCGTTCTGTTTTATGTTTTCTTTCCCTTCCAGTTCAGGTGTTTCCTAAAGCCCAGCCCCTGGCTGAGCTCTTGCAGTGGGGTTTGGGTGAGTGGCTTTCTTGTGACAAAGGGCACGTGTCACCAGGTGATGTCCCTTCCTCCCCTGCTGCAGGTGCTGGCCCTGGCCTGGGCTCAGTTTGATCTGCTGCTGCTTTTGTTGGCAAAAGCAGGGTGTAGGGTGACAAATATACTGGGCTGTGGCTCTCCTGGGAATTTCTCCCAGCAAGAGAAAATGTCTTAGATGAGGCCAAAATCTTGTTTGGAGGTTGAGACAGAATTTTCACAAGTTTTTAATTTAATTTTTGTTCTCTTGATGTGCCTCCTATGACTTGTTTGGTACATCAGCCTTACAGCAAATCCTGTTGTATGCTCCAGTAACCAGGTGATTTTATTTTTATTTTTCTTTGTGACAGATGTTACCCCAGCCACGTTTGAAACCCCCGAAGTGCATCCAGGTGGCCTTCCAGTGGGAAATAAATCCAAAGCTGGCATCAAGACTGGAGAGGAAGGTAGGAGAATTATGTTTCTCTAGCTGTATTCTTTGAAAAATAAATTGTCTACCAGCAGCTGGCCACTTGTACATTTCACCTTTAAAATAAATTGCTATAAATGCCATAAAAGGGGTTATTGAAAGCAGGTTATGTGTTCCAAACCTGATTTATTACTGCACCACTGTGTGTGGATCTGTGGCCCAGCTTGATGGTAGTTATTGGTGTGTCTTGCTGCCAGGAGGGTTAAGGGGAGATACAGTGCTCCCCTAGAAAGGGAGGCATTAACCTTCCTCAGGCTTCTTCCCTTCTCTCGGTAGGAGAAGCAGAAAAGGATGATAAAGATGCTCTTCCCAGCCTGGACGCGTTCTTGGCACAGCACACGAGTGAGGATAATGCTTCCTTTGAGCAGATCATGGAGGTGGCCAAAGAGAAGGAGAAGGTCAAGCACGCCTGGCTGTACAGCGCAGAGGAGGAGTACACCCGGGTAGGGAACGGCCTCAGCTCTGCCTCTGCTCTTCCAGAGGGACTCAGCAGGAAATGCCATTTCACTGGTTCTGCTAAGGCTCAGTTCCCTGCGTCTGTGACTGCTCTCTGCTTCCTTGTGCAGTCCTGTTTTTCCCCCTTCTGTCACGCAAGAACAGTGCTGACTTAGTTGCTGAGGCTTTGTCTCTTCTGAAAGCTTTGAGACTGCAGAGCACTGCACAGAGTGTATTGCTGTCCTTGGCAGCCTCTTCTGTAAGCAGCAGCACCAGGGAGAGCAGCTGAGCACAGTTCCTGCTGTTTGTCCATCAGCCTCTCATTTTTTGCAGTTTGTCTGTCTTATTTCAGTTTTCATTTTCTGTTGTCAGCAATAGCCCACTGAGCTGCTGAAGCACAGAACTGCACGAGCATGGCTGCCTGTGCTGCCTTCCTCAGCTGCTGCAGGGGAGGTCCAGGTGCTGCTCTGGGCCTGCCTTGCCAGTCTTTAACCACCAGCAGTGAGCAGCTGGCACAGATGTGTCATAGATGTGTGCCTTTCCATGAAGTTTGGCACTGACATGTGGGTGTTTGCTGCTGTTGTTTTGAGGGAGTGTTATTTTTTTTAATCCCAACTATCCCTCAGAGTCTGTTCCATACCTTATGCAGAATGTTCTAGGGCAGGTGGCTGAGCTTGTGACCAAGCTCTCCGAGTTTTGTCTGCCTGAATAAAAGATTGTAGGAAGCTGCTTCAGACTTTTTTTTTTTTTTTTACCTTTAAAATTTTTTTCCATTGCCCTTTCAGCGACAAAATGAAAACCTGGCACTTCCTTCAGCTGAGCAGCAAGCTCTGGAGAACGTGAAAGCTGGGCTGGATACCTGGGAATACACAGCTCGAAACACCCTCATGTATTATCCTACAGGTGAGGCACTGGCTCCAAACAGTGCTTACAGCATTTCTGTATGTGCCTGAGCAGCTCTTACAGCTAATGCTGTGCTTTTTCTTCTGTAAGGTTGTGTTTAAAAAGTGGGGGGTTTCCTTTTTTTTCTTGCCCTCTGATTCCAAAGCTTGATTGTGTTCTATTTGCCATTGAAAAGCTCATCTGTATTACAGAAGTACTTGTTTTCAGTAGCCAAAGCTCTTTCCTGGTCTGTCTTCTTTATGAGCACTTGTTGTCATCTTCATCATTGTTTGCTTCCGCTCAAAAAATCCTCCTTGGACTTGTTAGTCTGTTTGTTGCTATAGAAAAATACATATTTTTGTAAACATACCTTTCTTTTTTGGCTGTAAATATATAACTGATAATTTCTGTGAACCAGTGAAGTAAAGAGCTCTTTTTAAAAACACATTTTGCTTTTCAAGGTGTACCTGACGAGAGTGAAGTTTTCAAGAAGCCCAGGGAAGTTGTGCATCGAAACACACGTTTTGTGAAGGATCCTTTTAGCCAAGCTGTGAGCAAATCACAGCTCCAACAAGCTGCAGCCCTCAATGCTCAGGTAGGATAATTTTACTTCTGACTCAGATCTAGTCAGGCTTTGCCCTGTGGTGTGGTTCATCCCCCAGAACTGTGTGTGTGTGCTGGATGCAGCTGACCTTTCTCCACATAAGTGACATTGTCATTTTTATTTCAGTACAAACAGGGCAAAGTGGGACCCGATGGGAAAGAACTCATACCCCAAGAGTCTCCAAAAGTGAACGGGTATGGATTTGTGGCTACCCCCTCTCCTGCCCCAGGTTAGAGGATTTTCTTATTTCTTCTGCTTTAAGAGGACTATTACTGCATTACTTTGATGCTCTGTTCAACATTAGGGTGTCATTACAGGGTTAGATGAGGAGGTAAAACCTCATGATGTGTATGCTAGCTCATGCAGGGCTTAAATCCTAGTCCAGTACTCTGGTAGGAGAAGTCACACTGCACCAAGAGACTCTGAGGAAGTTGCTGTGCCGTTGTTCAGGAATCATCTAGCTGTGGGGCACTTTCAGTTAGAGCAAACTGATTATTTGTCTACCAGTTGAAACATGGTATCTGAATTTGTAGCTGTTCTGCACCAGCCGCGCTGTTTCTCTGTGCTTTTTGTGGTTATGCCAACACCTGAACACACTGGGGCTCTCCC